AACCTTCTTGTTCTCTTCAATTTTCACCTAATGTTCTAGAAAGTTAGTTTATCAGTGAGAATAGTCGATATAAATTACTCTAAAGCCTTCTTGTTCTCTTCTTCAGTTCTCACCTAATGTTCTAGAAAGAAAGTGAGTTTATCAATGAGAATAGTTGATATCATTTACTCTAAAGCCTTCTTGTTCTCTTCTTCCATTTTCACCTAATCATCTAGAAAAAAAAAGTTAGTTTATCAATGAGAATAGCTGATATAATTTACTCTAAAGCCTTCTTGTTCTCTTCATCAATTTTAACCAAATGTTCTAGAAAGAAAGTTAGTTTATCATTGAAAATAGTTGATATAATTTACTCTAAAACCTTCTTGTTTTCTTCTTCCATTTCCACTTAATCTTCTCCAAAAAAAAGTTAGTTCATCAATGAGAATAGTTGATATCATTTACTCTAAAGCCTTCTTGTTCTCTTCATCAAATCTCATCTAATGGTCTAGAAAAAAAGTTAATTTATCAATGAGAATAGCTGATATAATTTACTCTAAAGCCTTCTTGTTCTCTTCATCAGTTCTCACCTAATGTTCTAGAAAGAAAAGTTAGTTTATGAATGAGAATAGCTGATATAATTTACTCTAAAGCCTTCTTGTTCTCTTCATCAATTTTCACCTAATCTTCTAGAAAAAAAGATAGTTTATCAATAAGAATAGTTGATATCATTTACTCTAAAGCCTTCTTGTTCTCTTCATCAGTTCTCACCTAATGTTCTAGAAAGAAAGTTAATTTATCAATGAGAATAGTTGATATAATTTACTCTAAAACCTTCTTGTTCTCTTCTTCCATTTTCACCTAATCTTCTAGAAAGAAAGTTAATTTATCAATGAGAATAGTTGATATAATTTACTCTAAAGCTTTCTTGTTCTCTTCTTCCATTTTCACCTAATCTTCTAGAAAGAAAGTTAATTTATCAATGAGAATAGTTGATATAATTTACTCTAAAGCCTTCTTGTTTTCTTCTTCCATTTTCACCTAATGTTCTATAAAAAAAAAGTGAGTTTATCAATGAGAATAGTTGATATAATCTAGATCAATTAACAAAACGGTAATTACCAAGTTATCTTTACGTCACCTTTCATATAAATGCCAAACGTACAGCAATTACTCTATTTTGTCTCTTTTTTTCTTTAGTTAAACAGAGTGAGAGTGAATTTGCTCATTGCAAATTGAAAGTCCTCTCTTGCACCCTCGACCATTGCAGCAGCTTTCATAGTTTTAAAAAACCTTTTGCAACTATTTGACTGTTAGTTCTAGATATTTCTTTATCGCCCACTGTCATTGCTGGTTCTCGAATGTTCATTAGATCATTGTAGTATTTTTATTTTTTTGTCTGATTATGTTCTCCAAGTTATTCTTCTCCATGTTCTTCTTCTTGTTTTGCCTGAATTTTATGAATGTTCATCAGATCATTGTAGTATTTTTTATTTTTTTGTCTGATTATGTTCTCCAAGTTATTCTTTTTCATGTTATTCTTCTTCTGTTTTGCCTGAATTACCTTCTTTCTCGCCCCACCTCTTGGTTCCTTTTATATGTTTTTGTTAACTAAAAAAAAAAAAAAAAAAAAAAAAAAAAAAAAAAAAAAAAAAAAAAAAAAAAAAAAAAATTAAACAGAAATCATTAATATGACTATCACTTCATTTTTTTTTCTAAGTTTCCGTGGAATTTGTCAACAATGTGAATTTGAAGTGTCATCTCCAATGCCTTTAAACTTGTTAATCTTTCTCTTCCATTCGCACTATAAAACTTAGTGAACTATTGACTAAGCTGTCACTATTATTATTTATTATTATTCATGTCATTATTATTTATTTGTTTATTCATTTATTCACTTATTTCATTCATTATATTATGTCACTATTATTTATCATTATTCATTATATTATGTCACTATTACTTATTATTATTCATTATATTATGTCACTATTATTTATTATTATTCATTATATTATGTCACCATTATTATTATTATCCATTATATTATGTCACTATTGATCACTATTATTTATTATTATCCATTATATTATGTCACTATTATTTATTATCATCCATTATATTACGTCACTATTATTTATTATTATCCATTATATTATGTCACTATTATTTATTATTATCCATTATATTATGTCACTATTATTTATTATTATCCATTATATACACTATATTATTTATTCATTATATTACGTCACTATTATCTATTATTATCCATTATATTATGTCACTATTATTTATTATTATTATTCATTATATTATGTCACTATTATCTATCATTATTCATTATATTATGTCACTATTATTTATTATTATCCATTATATTTTGTCACTATTATTTATCATTATCCATTATATTATGTCACTATTATTTATTATTATTCATTATATTATGTCACTATTATTCATTATTATCCATTATATTGTCACTATTATTTATTATTATCCATTATATTACGTCATTATTATTATTTATATATATAAACTATTATTTATTATTATCCATTATATTATGTCACTATTATTTATTATTATCCATTATATTATGTCACTATTATTTATTATCATCCATTATTTCATGTCACTATTATCTATTATTATTCATTACATTATGTCACTATCATTATTATTTACACTACTAATAACAGCGACACAACTTAAAGTATATTTGTTATCCGAAATTATGTTATGAAATCTATGTTATTCTTGACATAACAATCAGATCTACGTGATGTGCCGTCGCTCTTTTGAAAGAAAAAAATATATATATTCATAAATGCAAATTAGACTAATAAGCACTTTTGCCTGCGTATTAATATTATTTTTTCAATGTGCGGTTTTCTCTGTGCCGTNTATATATATTATGTGTATATATATATATATATATATATATATATATATATATGTATGTATGTATGTATGTATGTATGTACGTATATATAGGCTTTATATATTTGGTGAGAAAGTTCTTTCGTCTTTGCATTCTTGACAGTACCGCACCGTCGCGTCGCATAGTTATGTGTTCGATTGTGTGCAAAATCTAATTCCTGTTCACCTTCTCTCCAGCCTATAAATGCATGTTAAATTGCTTCGTATAACCTGAAGGAAAGCTTTTTTTTAAGATGATGTATTTATTTTATTTATTTATTTATTTGTTTTATTTTTTTAAGATTTTTTTTTTTTTTTTTTTTAATAGTTATCTGTCTTTTTCACCTTTGACATATCTCTTTTAACCAACTAATACCTACATTGTATTTGTAATATTATGGCTATTGGAATTCAGTGGAATCTAAAACTTAAAAAGAAATGAAGGAATAATTACGTTTATATGTGGAAAGATGGATAATTGTGAATTAAGTCAATGTAGATTAGCAAATGGTATATATAATCATTGTTTTTACCATCTTTATTATCATTATGATTTTATCCTGGCTCTTATTATTGCTATCATCCATTTGATTATATTGATTATGGTGACCGTTAGTATTGTCACTGACATCGCAATTATTCGCATCATTATTATTCTTGTTATTTTTTATATCATCATTATTTATTATTATCATTATTGTTGTTGTTGTTATTGTTATAGTCATTATTACTATTATCATCATTAATATTATTATTAGTAGTAGTAGTAGTAGTAGTATAGTTATTACTAATATCGTTATCATTATCATTCCTGTTATTTCAGGATTATTATTATTATCATTATTATTATCATTGTTATTATCATTATCATTATCATAATTATTATTATTGTTATTGTTGCTGTTTTGTTTTTACTTATCTATAACTCTACCGTTGTTATTATCATTATTAATATTATGATTATTGTCGTTGTTACTATTATTATAATTATCATTATCATTTTTATTATTAGCATTATCATTATTCTTGTAGTTGTTATTATTATTTTATGTTTATTACCATGATTGTAATTATCATTATTATTAAATTAGCATTATTATCTTTATTATTTTTGTTGTTATTTTGTTTTTACTATTATCTTTATCACTACTACTACTATCATGATTATTTCAATCATTATCATTATTGTCATCATTATCATTATTATTGTTGTTATCATTATTGTTACCGGTATTATTATAATTGTTATTATCATTATTAATATCATTGTTCATTTTGTTGTTATCATTATCATGTTTATTACTATTATCATCATAATCATAATTACTGTAATCATTATTATCATTATCGTTTTCATTATTACTACTACTACTATTACTGTAATCATTATTATTGTTATCATCATGCTTATTATTTTATTATTTTTCAATCTTATCAGGATATTTTTTATTGTTAATATCATCATTATCATTCTTATTATTACCATCATTATAATTATCATAATCATCATTATCATTATTATCATTATCATCATCACTATTATCATTACATTATTACCATTATCATTATGTGTTATTATCATTACCATTATTATTGTTATTAGTATTATTACCATTATTTTTATTAGTAGTATTATCATTATCATCATTATCATTGTTATCATTACCACTGTCTTTATTACTAGCATTTACAGTTTCATGTTATTATCAATATTTTGTATTCTTTTCTTTTTTGCTATTATTATGATAATTATTCATAATTACTATTTCATCATTGCAATTAGTATCATTATTTTTATTCTTATCATTATATTTATCATTATTTTGCTCATTATCATTATCACAGTATCATTGTTATCATAATTATCATCATCAGTATCTCCATAGCCATTATTGCCATCAGTACAGTTGTTCTTATTTTTTAGATTTCACAAGTAGTATTGATAATATTTTTAGATTTAATCTGACTATCGCTATTTGCATTAGCGTTATTATCATTATTATTGTTATCATCATTCCTACCATTAGCACATGCTGGGGAAGGTCAGAGTATTGAAAATTACATTGCTGTCAATTGCCACTTTTCTTAAAACAAGAAATCTATCTTAGATTAGCATCATACAGTTAGTAACAGACTATCATCTGAACGACATTATAAAAAAGGCACCATAGACACGTGTTTATCACTGTCAAAAGATAATTTACTGATTATACAGAATAAGTAACACATGCAGTCATGGAAGGTTTTCTGCTGAGGGGCTCTGGTTCCTTCTGCTGACCGCAGACTCCATCTTCCGCCAAAGTTGGCCCAACTCCACACTGAGACCTGCGTCCGGTAACAGCTTCGACTCCAGCGTTGCCCTGAAGGCCCTGGGCCACCAAGGGAACCGCAGGAATAGCCTCGCCAGATAATCCTGGAAGACCTGGCTGCGCAGATTGAGGACGTACCAGTGCCAGGAGGAGTCGAGGAGGAAGACCCACCAGAAGAGGAAGCGCAGCCGCCCCTCGCTTCGCAGGCCGGGGATGAGCAGCAGCAAGCGCGGGCCGACGCTCGCGAGGTGCAGCGCGAGCATCATGTTCATCGTCGTCAGGATGCCAAGGTCCTCCCTCTTCTGCTGCTCCACGCGCGTCGGGGAACTCTGCTTCACGAGATTTGCCAAGTCCGCCTTTGACCTTGCTGTGAATATTTGCTTGGTCTTGAGTAACACTAAGACGGTGCAGACAAAGAGTCCAGCCATGTAGAACATTAGCAAATGGTGCAGCACGGAGCCAAGTCCGGATCTGGGAAGCAGGATAAAGAGCTTCGTAAACGGATCGAAAAATCCACATCCTGGCGCCTCTTCGGAGGTGAAGAGAATCCCGAGAGGGAGAGCGAGCCCGATGCCCCACATGGCGAGGTTGGTCGCTTTGACCGTTCCGGGCTTTTGGCTTGTGCTTTGTGGATACTTACATGCTAGATATCTTTCCACTGCAAGGAAGGCCAGGCACTGAAGTGACATGACTGAGGTTGTTTCGAAGAGAACGGCACAGAAGCTCGAGTAAACCGAACTGATTGCAAGAGATCGACACAAGTACTCAGAGAATCCCATGCCCTGGGTGAAGCTCACACTGGACGCACGTGGAATGTTCGTCATAAGCCACGTGGTATTTCTCAATGCCATTGTCATGACGAAACTGCCTCTTAGAAAATCCGAGACAGCGAGGGAAGCTCTTACTAACCAGCCTAGACTTCGCCTACTCGTGTTGCAAACCATCGTTGCTAAAACCAGAAGGTTTCCTGAGATCACCACCAAGAACATTGTTATGCCTATCCACAGGAATATGATTTCTAATATCTTTTGGCCCAAAGAAAGAAATTCCCAAGTGATAACAACATCAGAGGAATTGCCCATATATACTAGTGCATCTCCATTTGATGTTAACCAGAATGTATCTTTTAAAACATTTCCTTGAAGTTCCGATATGTTCAGAAGACACTGAACAGCAGACCCACTACCACTTGACAGCCTTATCCATTTGTCGACTATTGACTTGAGATGCAGATCGTCGCCACAGTATTCCAAACACTTTTCAGTATGATTTAAGAGTTCCTCCGACCTCACGTCTTCAAAGAGGGTCTTGAGGCGTTTCCAGCAATTCTCCCTCGCAGTGACGTCATCTGTCGTGTTCTTTGACGCCAACAAAGGAATGGAGGACGTCTTGGCACTATGCTGGAGAGTCGGAAATGCTGCAGATGAAGATGCGATGCTCAGATGAATCAGGACGAGCACTCGAAGACACAGGAAGGACGAGGCTGCTTTGCAAGTCCATAATCTGAAGAAAAGGAAATTGTATCTTTATTGCCACAACTTTTTCAGTCTTTGAAAACATTGTTATTATTATCGTTG